TATTTATTTATTTATTTATTTATTTATCACTACTTGCCTGGTGTGGTGGTGCATGCCATTAATTCCAGTACTCGGGAGGCAGAAGCAGGTGGATCTCAATGAGATCAAGACAAACCTGGTCTATATAGCAAGTTTCTGGCCTGCTGAGTCTACAAGGGACCCTATATTTAAAAAATGTCTTTATTCTTGGGCTGGTGAGATGGGTCACTGGGCAAGGGCACTTGACACCAAGCCTGATTACCTTAGTTTGATCCCCTAAGTCCACAAGATGGAAATAGAAAACTAACACATGAAAGTTGTCCTCTGGCCTCCACATGTATATCATGGCATGTGGACACACACAAATAAATTAATTAATTAATTAATTAAGTTTTTTAATTGTTCCTTCCTCCTTAAGCTTCAAACTCTACTACAATTTTCATTCTAGTTTAACTTAGTTACTTTAATAACAATAAAACATGAAAAAATAGAATATCCACTAGACACATGAAACGTAGAAGCAATAACGAGAAAAGTGGATTGCCATTGAACCCACTAAAATACTGAGGTATGTATTATTCTCTTTCATCACTTACCTTTCTCTACCTAAAAACCCCAAAGGTCACAAAAAATAATTTCAAGCTAGTTAGAATTATTTAATGAGAAAATCCATAACTCCTCAGGGTGATCGGAACTGATTAGACATAAAAAGTGGCAAAATATAGCCAGCTTCCTTCTCCTAGGAAGATCACCACCATACAGAGCCTGAGGATCTTTGTCCAATATATGTAAAATGAAGATAATATTTGAGAAATATCAAGCCTGTATATCCACATAATGCTAGTAAATTTTGGCAGTACAAACAGTAACATTCCAGTATTTTCAAAGAGGAAATACCCTTTACATTATTAAAACCTTGCATCTCACAAGCAATTCAGGACATAATTCTCCAACATTTTTTTTCAATCACATTTAAGCCAATGAACCCTACAAATAAGTCTAACTAGCATGAAAGGAACACATATGATGACATTTCAAGCATAAAGCAGTGTTGAAATCTGAGGCCTAGACAGACACATACTTAAAATTGACTAAACTGTTTCAAATGCTGTGTCTTTAAATTAATTTATGTTGAACACAGTGGGTACCAGAGTCAATTCCAGTTGCTATGACAACAGACACTGAAAATTTAAAGATTCAGCAGCAGGCTTGATTCCCTGCAAAGAGGGCTATTTTACATTAAAATTACATACCACTGCAACAGTTTCAATGAAACATGTTAAATAGATACACATGTAAGTCATCGTTTAAAAAGACAATTTAATTATTGTATCAGAAACAATGTTTATCATTTTAACGTAAATTTTCTCCTAGCTAGATTTAAACAGTGAATTAGATTTCAAATTTCAGAAAGCAAGCAAGTAATTAACAAAATACTATACTAGAGAAGAAGATATCTAAAGTAATCATGTAATCAAAACACAACAGAGTACCTGTCTATAATATTTAGTTTGCAGATGTATTGGTGACTGAACCATTCTCCCAAGACAGAAACTTACAATGTCAGTCACAACAAAGGAAGAAACTTGGGTTCACATGAACACATTGACTTTTTCAGATTGGTAAAATGTCCAGTGATTTCTCTAAAGAATTCTTTAATTGGTTGTAAAATCACTGGATTTGAAAATGATGATGTTTTGCATCATTCCAATACAGTTTTTATGGGGTCAAGGCTCATCAGTTCTACCAAATAAACATATCCACTTGCATGGCCCCCAAAACGGTCACCTTGTGCATATAAACCAAATGGAGGCAAATGAGATGTGAGGGCCATCAGTCGATGCATGCCAAGGAGGAGAGGAAGGTAGAAGCCGAAGGAAACAGACCTCTCTCCTTCCACTGGAGCAAAAAGGACAGAGGAAACGCCTGCTACAGTTTGGCCAGCTGAACATCATGGTAGCACAGTTTCCTACTCAGTCTTTAAAACACTCCCAGATACATTTGTTCAAGACAGGCCAGTTTTCTGTTGTTTAGTCTATTAGCATGAGATATTACTCGAGCTGGCTCATCCGGAGCCACTGATTAAAATTGGTTCCCTCTGTGTTCTCCCTGGTGCCAAGAGTTAATTCCATTTGAAATAGACAGATTTTCTGTTCTCTATTTAGTTTATAATTCTCAAATTAGATTCTTTAATCAAGTTTCACTTTTCAAACTCTGTTTGAAGGAGGAACAGGAGGCAGGAAATACTATAAAAAAAGAAAGAATTGCTATTCTCCTTCCTTAAATTCATCCCTTATGCTAACTAAACCCTCTCCAATATACACGAGTTAAGTCCATGAAAGAGCTCAAGTAAAAGAATATTTGTTTGTCAACTTGAATTTTTTTTTAGTTTATAGGAACTCTTTAAAAATCTGTTTTATTTGACCTTCAAATTTTCCTATTCCACAAAGAAAAGAATTACAAAGAAAGAAAACATTTGTGTCCAAAATACAAAAACATTATTTGTATTCTTTGTATTCTTGGAATACAGACTACAGAAAGCAGAAATCAATGAGAAAATTTACACTCCAAGTACATTTTAGGGTTGGAAAATTAAACTGTTCTAATTTGTTAAATCTAATATTGGCCCTGAATTTATAAGATATTAATGACAGACTCTGAAATTATAAGATATTATAATTAATTAGGTTGAAAACATGTTTGTCATCAGAATAAATACTACCTGTGGCGAGTCTGAGGAAGAAAACCTAGGAACAAAAGTGCGCAATATCAGAAACTCATTCATGCAATGTAAGTTTTCATTTGCTTCCTTTCAAGTAGCATGAAAATAAAGAGCTGCTAAAATCCAGTAGGCAGAGAACTAAAAACAGGATACTAATTTTGTCTTTTTAAAACTATGTGTTTATGTAATCTAACAGGAACAGTTTGTCCCATTAAAACATCTCTGAGTCTTCAAGAGTCCTCTTCAGATATTTATAGTCATTAGAAGAGGCTGCAGCTATTATAGTTCATAATGACTTCTCACACATTTCTGTTTAACTTATCAGCAATAACATTTAGAGTTGTGCTACATGGAACAAGAAATTATTTTTATCTAATTTGTACCTCTTAAAATTATCCATGTTCCATGAAGAATAAATAAAACAAAGCTGTTTATCACTACTAATTAGGTGTTACAGTTGGAAACATACATTGATTCTCTTTAATCATTAAAAAATCAAAATGTTTTGAACATCTTTCACAAGAAAGGCCCTACAAAGAGCACACAGTCTCAGAGGGATGAAAAGAAGATCCTGATATTGACCATGCAAAAGTTAACAGGAGTTAGTAAAAATATTATTTTGCACTGAGTGTGCCAGAAAAGATCCTGTCAAAGAGGTGGGGTTTCTTTAATGTTTGAATATACCAAGTGTAGGTGCCTGGACAGATACAAAGGAAAGGCATTCCAGAAGATAGTCACACAATGACAGAAAGAAAGTGGGGACACATATGCCATTCCAGAGAAAGTAAAGGGACTTGTTGAACTGAAGTCCTGGCCAGGAAAGTTTCAAACCCTAGTCTGAGAAACAGGGAGTTTATTACTTACATAAGATTTAGAACAGTAAAATGGCAGTATGTGGAATGCTCTTTGATAAAATTCCTGTGACAAGAGTCTGTAGACAGACTAAAATGGAAAGCCATGAATTAAAGACCCAAGTTAAAAGTATCTAGCCTTAGGTGGTAACTGGAAGTTCAGGGAAAATGCTTTAGAATTATCACAGAGACAAAGTTGAGTACAGTGGTACATACCTGTCATCCTAGCACTTGGGAGGCTGAGGAAGGAGGTTTTCAAGTTTTAGATCCAGCTTGGGCTGTATTTGCAGGCCCTGGTCTCAAAAAAGAAAACCTGAAGGAGATAGCCAAGTACTTGTAGAAGCATGCGGACCTGAGTGCATTCCCCAGAACCCTTGTGAGAATACCAGACAGGGTGGATTTGTTTATAATCCCAGCACTGGGGAGGCAGAGACAGGAGGATGCCTATGGCTTGTTGGCCAGCTAGTCTAGTCTAATTGGTGAGGCACAGGAAAATGAGAGACGCTGCCTCAAAGGAGGTAGACGACATTCCTATGGATGACACCCGAGCCTGGCCTCTGGCCTTTACACACACACACACATGCACACACACTGACACTATGGACACTCAAACTGACATGCACATACACACACAAAAAGAAAATATGCAACTATAGCAGAGATTGAATGAGTATATTTGGGAAAGGCAAACCTGACATCCCACTATTAAAGCTTAAGAAACCTGATGTGTTAAAGAATATGAACATTTCTGAGAGAAAAATGTAAAATCATGTGCAAATTATAATTCTGCCCTTAGCTGAGATAGTATCCCTTTGGATTTCCCATCTCCACTGATCCCCTGTCTGGGCAGGCAAAAAGTGAACCACCGCTTAAAGTTCAATAAAATCCAATTTTTTCCCATTTATTTGCTACTCTAGTCTCTCAGTGACAGGAGCAGTTATATGTATGGGATAAAACAATATTGGGTCATTGTAAATTAAGATAAATGTTTTGTCTCTTCTGTATGGTTTAGACATTGTAAAAAGTAATCCAAAACTTTAAACAGTCCCTTTAGGTAATGCTTATTCCAAAAATGGACAATAGAGTTCTTTTTCTTAGATAATCTCACCTTTCCTCTTCTTTACAAGCAGTGAATGGTGTATGATCAGAGAGGAATACGGACCTTTGTATATAGCTTTATGCAACTGACTTTATGCAGCTGAGAAATTATAGGCATTTATAACCTAAACTCTCTATGCCTCTCTTTCCCTGGGTGACACTGGATTACCTTGTTAAGCCTTGAGGCTTCCCGTGCAGAAAGTATGGGAAGTTTTAAATTCGGAGTTAATTCTTGTGGCTCTTGGCAACAAATGCTGGCTTCCTAAGCATCTACCAGGGACTCTTTAAAGGTCTGTTTCTGTCTCCCACTTCATTCCACCTCCAGGAGTCCACATGGCAGACTTCATAAAAAGTCACATTCCCACACTGCACTGAGCCCTCTGTAAAGCCCCTAAATTAGAATATTTGCTATATCACAAAGAGCAAAATTTGGGAAAGCTAACTATTGGGGCCTAAGAAAGTAATCATGGTGGAGACTACTAAATTTATTTGGATATAACTATAACTTGAGTCTGTACAGGACAGTGTTAGATGATTTGGGAAGAGTCTGCCTATGCTTATAGGATCCTCATCAATACACCTGCTGTTCTCTAGGTCAAGTCCAAATAAGTGATCACCTGGGCAGACATGTAAACATCTCTGCTCCTAGCCCCTATTCCTCTTACTCCAGAAAGAGGTAGCTTCTCATTTATATAATTTAATCATGAGAAACTAAGGAAGAGAACCTTCCATCATAGTCTTGTTTAGGCTCATCTAAGCCCTGTGGTGACACAGGCTGATATATTCAGTTTAGTAGTGAAAGTGGTGAATATGACAGAACTTTAACAGCATAGTATAAGAAATTCTGAAAGGAATTTAGAGTCATTCCTCAAGACAACAGCTTTGTTTGTAAGGATATCATCTTATTTTATAACCCTATTTTGCCTACCAAAAACTGAGTAGTACCTGAATAGTATACTTCCAGGAGATAGAGTCTCAGGCGAGCTAGTTGGAAGGTCCCTACTAGGAAAAATAATGGAGACAGCATACACATATTTTCAAATGTAACTCATGTTACAAATGGATCCATGTTATTAATATTTCACAGCATGACCAAAGGAATAACCATAGAGACTTCAAAAATGCTCTCAATAGATATTGCCTGGGCTGCTTGAAAATGCGAACACATTTTGGTGTTCTGTTGATTCTATACGAAGATTAAGTAAATACAACTTGTGCTGTGTCAAGGACTAGATCTCAGAGCAGAAATTGGGTGTGGTATGAGTTGATTTTATTGTCCGATATATAAATTAAAATTATTGAAGTAGAGAAAGAAACAGATTGAGAAAGAAAAGAGTCCGTTCATGTTTAGAGCATTTGCCTCCGTACCCTTGTTTTCTTCCTCTGTTTTTCTATTGTCTTTACTTTCAAAGACAGTAGAACTAGTCCTTAATTCATCAGTCATCTATGTTTATCTTCAACTTGAAGATAGAGCACATAGCCCACACCACAGATTTTAATTCTATAAGACTCTATGAAGTATTAAAAGTGCCTAGGACCACGAAACCATGCATTCCTTTGGGAAAATCTCATCTTCTGGCTAAACAGCTCTGTTGTTCCAGTCTTGTTACTTATAGTCTATGCAACCATGGGCAAGATAACCTAAACTCTCTATGCCTCTAGTTCCTCATTTTAAAATAAGTATGATAATATCTGCCTTACTTCAATGGATGACTGTGAGAAGGAATCTCAGGTCAGGAAGTGACTGAAAATTCTCTTAAATTTCAAGGTGCTGTAGCTATAGCTGAGTGTCACTGCTTTTGCCTCCTGACTCATAGTCTGTGCTGAGTGCCCTACCCTGTTTCCTCAGGACTACTTCATAGTCAGGGCTACTCACTCCAAACACTATTCTCTTTGCTCAGAAGTGAATGCTCAGCACACCCAGTGCAAGCAAGAAGTGCTGGCTACTGGACTTAAGCTAGCTATCAAATAATGGAAAATGAGGCTAGTAGAGGGTCCCTCAGCTTCCCTAAGTTCAAAGAACTCCTTGTGTGGCCAGAGTCCAGCGGAAATGCACTAGTCTACTACAGTAGTAACTCAATTCAGAAAAAAAAAATATTTTTGTTTGCTGACTTCCTTTTCTCTTTTTGCCTAACTTACCCACTCCCTTGCTTTGGTTTCCTGGGGCAAACCCAGATGACCTTCATAGGCTCTTGAATCCCTGTCTTACAATGTGCTCCTTTGGGAAACAAATTAAAGATGGTATCACTTGAACAGCCCCTGCCTCAGAGAAATCTCTGAGGGCTGTAGGCCTAAGTCCATATGACAACTCAAGTTTGAAATGTTCTCATTTCTCCCTTTTAATCTTTTAATTAAAACCAGAATGACAAATTTTCTGTTCATGAAATACAGTGGGTGTTTTTTTCCCCTGGATGACTCATCCTCCTGTCTGGCTCACAGGCAGATTCTCCAGACCACTTTAAGAAGGTCACTGACTCACCCCATCCTTCTAGATTCATACTTAGAGCTACCAGATTCTTCTGCCCAGACCTGTTCTATACAGAATAATAAGTCCAGTTAAATAACTAAAGCCTTTCATTGTCCTGGAGTGAGAGGATTTTAGGAGACCCAAGTTCCTACAGTCTTGTTAATACAAACTTCATATGCCTTCCTGGACCTACAAAAAGCATTACTAAGTCCTGTTTGTCTATGTAATTTTATTTTTTGGTTAGCTTAAAAATCAGTAGTTTTCCTTATGAAGACATTCCTATTTTGATTAATAAAGCATGCATTCTTAATATATTATAAGTGTTCATTTTAACTGGAAATCTCAGTTTTAAAGACAAAGCTACTGAGATATGGCGTCACATCTTGGCTACAACTCTGAGACCAAGCACATTGTTTTGTCCTTTTCCATCTCATCTTCCTCCAAATTGGAAAAATGGATTTTTCAGTGGCAAATATAGAGAGAATGATTATATAGCCTTTTACATAGTAAGCATATATGTTACTTTATTTTTAAAGTATCTGGTTATTCTTCCTTAATTAATTCAATTAACATTTACTGAGAATCTGATTATTGCCACACTTGAAATGAGTAAAATACAACCTCTCTCCTACTCTCCACATACTTACGATCCTCTGGGGGTGGGGACATATATTTTTGTTCTTGTCCTTTTGTTATTCTTGCTTTTTTGTTTTGTTTTGTTTTGTTTTGTTTTGTTTTGTTTTGTTTTGTTTTGTTGAGACGTAGTCTCACTGTGTCACTCTGGCTGCCCTGGAACTCATTATGTAGACCTACTACCTTGAACTCAGAGATCTGCCTACTTCTGCTTCCTGAGTGATAGGATTAAAGACACATGCCACCATGTCCAGAAGACGTACATATTTTAAAATTAAGAAACAACAGAAACACATATACTGCATGATATATTCACATGCTATTACGTATTAGTATTAAATTAGATGGCAATTATAATAAAAACTAAGTTTTCCTGAATATAACAACAGTGGTGTTCTATCTATAACCTTTATACACCTAAATACTTTTATAGTCCATAGTACCATTCAAATAATTGAGTTTATTTATCTCATAATCAAATTTCAAAACTTTATAATTCTTAAGACCTGTCCTAGTGGGTTAATGCAGGGGAAAGGGATTCATGTTGAAGAAAATGCAAATGAGAGTGTTATTCATCTCTGAATCATAGTAAATGTGAAGATAAAATCACATTACCATGTGAGGCTTTGCAGTAGAGAAAGAGAAGTGAATTACCATCATCATGTTATTCCATTAAAATTACCATCAATATCAAACAGACATTAATTGGATAAACACTCAGGAGTCTGGGAAGTTTAACTTTCTTGTGTCAAAATACCCAGCACTATATTTTGTTGATTGCTGTAGTGAAAGCTCGTTCTGCTTTCTGTCCTACAAGTTTGTGGAACGTTTTGTTCTGGTTGAACAGAACATTTGTGTGTGTGTGGCATGCTCTTGACTCAGCTTGCCCTCAAACTGCTAATTTCCTCAGCTGACTCTGACATGCCATTCCTTAAACAGGGAGAACAGAGCTTCACATCCTTTGGGAGTCTACTTCACGCCCCTTCTGGATAGATAGGGTGTTATGTGCTGGGGTCACCCAGGAGAGTATGAGTCTGTTAATGAATTGACTTAGATTCCACAAGTAGGTTTAGTACTGTGTTTGATTAAGACAGGAAGAGAGCTAGCCGACATTCGTAATTCAACCATAAAGCATTTAATGTGCTAACACCTGTCTCACAAACCTAATTTTAAAACTGTTTGTTTCTGACACCCTGTGAGAACATCACCAGCTTTATTAAAGGAATGGTAAAAGGGTGTCTCTTGGTACATAGATGGTCAACCAAGAACATCTTAACCTTTATCCTCTGTAAAATAAAATACCTAACTTTAAAAAATAATTGTTATCTATATTATATACTTTTCTAAATTATTCTTACTCAAAGAACAGTTCTAGCTACCTTACTCCCAAATCTTCAAATCTCAGCTATATCTTTTATAATGCCAAGCATAATTTTATTCTGCTGTTAAACAAATAGTACATTTTCTTTTATTTCCTCTTTGAGGAAGATGAAAAATGGAGCTGAAGAGATGACTCAGAGTTTAAGAGCGCTGGCTGCTCTTGCAGAGCACCTGGTTCAGTTCCCAGCAAACTGCATGGTTGCTAAGAACCATCTATAACTGGAGTTCTAGGAGATTTGATGACCTTCTGGCTCCTTTGGGCATTCCATTCATGTTATGCACTTACATCCATGCAGGCAAACCACTCAGACACATAAAATAAAAGTAAATTAGTCAAAAAGTTTTAGGTTCTGGAGATATGTCTCAGTAATTAAGAGCACTGGCTGCTCTTCCAGAGGACCCTGGTTCTGGTTCCCAGCATCCATACAGCAGCTAAGAAC